AAAGCCCTCTGCGCCAGTGACGTCAGCAAATGTCTCATCCAGGTAAGGGATGCTGAGGTTTTCCCACGCCTCGCGACCTGCGAGCTGCTTTTGGTTTTTGCACCTTAAACGCGGAGCCGAGTCCTGGATGTTTGTGGTGAGGCGGTGTTTTGAAGCGTGTGTGAACGAACGAGTGTTTGCAAACAGGCTTCGCCTCCCTGAGGTAACTCTGTGGTTGCAGACACATAATCTCAGGTGCACTTAACTCGCGACTGTGATGATCTTCTCTGGAGATTAAAGCGGCGAAGTGCAGCCAAGTTCAAGCTTTTCATCCTCCAGGGTTTACAGCTGTTTTGTGTAAACAGGCACAGTTGTGTCTCTTGGCTAAAACACAAGTCAGGAGTTTAAAGTGACAGCAGTAGGTGGACGAGGAGTCCGCTTTTTTGCCGCTTTGCTCCCATAAAAGCAGCAAAACTGTACAGCGGCGCTTCTTTGAGCGGTAGCTGAATTCACTGAGGGGAAATAATGCCTCCGCAGTCGGTCTGTTTTGTACAAGTTCTTCTCGTAACAGTAAATATCCAACGGCAGCCAAAGTCGAGTCTACAAATCTGCCAGGATAAGATGAAGATTTGGACCTGGGAACAACGATGGAATCTGTTGTAAAGAATGCAGATACATTCCCTAGATAATCCTGGAGGCGTCTGAAAGGGAGCGGACCTGTGAAGCTGTCCAGCCTTCAGCTGATAGGGAGTTGGATGTCTTTCTTTCATTCTGTTCCGTTTGTTTGTATTTATTTATGTGAGGTTCTTTTAGCTCTGCTTTTAAAAGTCTCACATCAAACTCATTCATGCTTGTTGACTTTCTAACATCACTTCCTTCATGTCACTTTTTCCTCACACGTTCGGATGAGGGGTTCAGCCCACGCGTTAACACGGATTCCTTCATGAATTCTTGTTTCGAGTTGGTTTTAGAAAGGCCAACTCTTCTCTTGATTTGACTTTCTTTCAGCTGTCAAGCCAGATTTTTGCTTGGCTGCTGTCCTGTAGGTCAGAGCTGTGTGTTTAGCTTCCCTGCCTCTTCCATTACAGTCTTTAAAGTACTGTCATTAACCTCAGTGGCTATTTCACCTGTTTAACCCCTTGTGAACGTGAGCTGCAGCTCTGTTTTGCCCCAAACTCTATTCTTGGAGCAGGATGTTTGCAGCCGCATGTTTGCAAGTAAAGACAGGTTGTTGTTGTTGTTGTTGTTGTTGTTGTTATTATTTTTCTTTGTTCAAGATTTGGCTTTTAGATTGTTTAGCAGAAAAATGAATGTATCCAACAAAATCCTGAACATATTCTGCTTCCAAAGTTTTTCTTTTCTTGGATTTAGATTTATTTATTTTAATTTAGTTTGTTAAAACAAGACATTTTGAAGGTCTGGCTTTAGTCATGAAGACCAAACTCTTCTGCTTAATTAAATGAAATAATTAAATGTATGCAGTTTCGAGTTGATTTTAACCACTAATGTGGTTACCATGCAAAATTTTAAAAAAGCATTGCTGCAGGATTGCAAAATACATCAGTACTACAGCGCCGGCTTTAATGCAAAGGTTCAGGTTTCTGCAATTAATTAAGTTACCAAAAAATCTGCTTGGCATGCTGTGAATCAGAGCCCGGAGGGGTCTCAGCAGCCCTGTGCTCTTCCTCCGTTTTCCTGGTTGGTAATCCAACCTTTCCCCCTTTTAATCACTACGTTGCTTTAAGGAAAACTTTTCGTGCAGCAACTACCAACAGTACAACAAGACATGTAGGACATGGTTAAATGTAAGCCGTGAGCAGTGGGTATGAAAAGAAACAAGACTTAGAGGCAGGAGATGAATCCAAACTGTAGATATCGAAAATGACCATAAATCGCCCTGCAAGATCTTGTCTCACGGGGTGAGGATGATCATGATGGTGGGGGATCAGCCCAGAACTACAAAGGAGGAGCTTGGTTACACACTCTACCTTATAATGGACTGAAGTCATCACTTCATCAAACTTACAGATTCATCAGAGGATCGAATACTTATTTCCCACATTGTGTGCAGCTTTAGAAACCGTTACAAGGAATTTTATCTGTGCTGTTTTCACACATGCACCACAGCCCTCAACTTTTCTAAGAGGTGCCCGCCGAGGATTTGTATGAGGGCGCGTAAGCATCTGATACAGCCAGAAGAGACGTCCTTTGGTCTTTAAGAGTTTGCTTTGTGTGACTGATGCACTGATGTGAGAGTAGTGCAGGTGATGGTGCGATGAATACAGAGATACTGATATTTTCAGTTGGGGAAAAATGTGGCTGAGGCGAAAGGAAACTTAAGAAGGCGTCCCGAACTGATTCTGCAAACATCTTCCTGAGTTCATGTGTGAAAATGCCTCAGGAAAATTGAGAAATCCTCACGTGAATCACTGTAGCCAGGAAATTCCTGGATTTTGTTGTTTTGCAAAGGTCTTAAATTGCGAAGTGATCTAAAAACAGTTGAGGAAAAATGAGCTCTCTTCCAAAAATCTTCAGAGGAAAGACAGCCTCTCGTGGCTTTTTTTCTTTTTTTTTCTTTCTCTTTTTTTAAAGCTTACTTCTTTTTGGATTAAAATCCTAAACAAATCCCTTCTTCCTGGCTTGAGTTTCCCCGGAACATTTGAGGCCCTTTATTTGTTCTTTACTTCCAGGTGGCTTATTTCGCCTGATGAATCACTGCTCCGGACAACAGCTCTGTAGCTTCCGCGACCCCGTCGACACCAACTCGCTAGCTGTCAGAGGCGAGAGCGATTTATGTGTGTGTGTGCGCCGTGAAGGAGAAACTTTCCTGCCTCTCCAGCCCCTCCGTAGACGCTCCATGTTGCTTGTGATTAGTGGGATTTGCTGTCCGACGCTCACTTTTGCGCTCTGCTGCCATCTCAAGTCATTTGTCTTGAATTCCCTAAACCCCCACCAAGGGGTGGGGAAACATGAGAGCAGGAGGTCGAAGAGGAGGGAGGGGAGGTTAAGGTCAGGAGGAGGTGTGTGTGCGTCTGTGTGGAGAGAAACCTACAGTTTTGAGTCTAAGATGTGTGCAAAACTTCACAATCCAGCTCTGTCCAGGACTCTGCACACCAGGCTGTTTAGCAGGGTGGGGCAGCAGATTTCAAAGCTGAAACACAATAGCGGTCGCTCGGTGGGACGAGCGCATACTCACTTTGCCTCCGGAGCCCTTTTGTCCCGCTGCAGCCGGGCTTTGACTGATTGCAGCGGTTTCCACTTGAGAGCAAGGGTAGCCTAATAAGAGCTCTTTAAGCCGTTAAGATAACCTCATCCACCTCAGTGGGGAAATTGTTGTTAGTAGGGTTGCAACTACCGCTTGTTCTGATTAGTCTGTCCATTCGTTTTCCAGCTGTTTCCCGACAGCGTCAGGCAGAGGTGAAGGAGGTTCCTCGAGCCCAAAGCGATGTCTTCAAGCTTCTTTTGTCAAACAATATGGTGAAAAAGCAAAGAGGTTGAATTTACTATCACAGGAGATGAAGAGTTTAAGAAGCTTAGGCAAGTCAATCTTTAGTGTTTTTACTTGGTGAATGACTTAAAAAATTTATTCCATTTTATTGTTTTCTGGTAATTAAAAGCTGAAACTTTTGGTCCTTCTGTCCTGTCACTGTTCTGTTTTTGTATGCTGTTAAATTTATATGAAATCGGCTTTAGGGTGATACCAGCCAAGGAAGAAAACTTGAAAAGAAAAGTTGACAAATAAATGGGACGAGACCTTGTTTCCTTTTTGTTTTCCTTCAGTAAAAAGAATGGAAACTCTACTTTTGGACGTAGTTATATTTTAACACTAACAGACTAATTATGTCTGTGCGTTAACTATAAAGGTAGAGCCAGAAGAC